GGGGGATATTCTAAATATGTCCACCTCAGACAGAGCAGTTATTATGTTCGGGGTGGCACAGTGAGAAGCAAAGATGGGTCTTAGTAAGTTACAAAATTCTAAATACTGAACACTGGCAGTGACTCAACATTTATTTACAAATTGATAATTAAGACAAATATGTTAAGGAGTGAAAATGAACAAAAGAAGGAAGTGACTAAACTTCAGGGTCTCCTCATGCAGCAAAACAACATACGCAAAACCTAATAAAAAACAAAAGCCCTAAGCTACATAATCAAACTAAAGCGACAGAACCTGCAGGTCTTTGCTACAAAACCACAGAGAAAGTGGTTAATGATAAAATGGTAAACCCAGCTTCCATTGCCTTAGAGACAGATTTAAACAAATGCAAAGTAACAGGAACTAAACTTTCCAGGTTTGCCCCAAGTCACTTTTAAGTAAGGCATTTCAAATGATGCCAGACAAGCCTAAACTGAATATCAACCCAACACAGAGCCCAGTGGCCAAATGGCAAGGATCACTTGGCAATGGGGCTCTAGATATACAGCCCCTCTAACAAGCAGCTGCTTTTCGTCCGTGGCAGATCTGGAACACAGAAAAAGAAGTCAAAAGGTCAGCATGAGAGTGTAAAATGATAATTCATTGTTCTGTGTTATATGTGTTCAGCTTCCCTGTAGTGTTGGGCCGGTGTGGGAATGCATTTGTAGAGCATTTAAGAAAGTATGCCCTGGATATGACCATCTCAGACACCGCATTCGCTCACACTTGTCAAACCTTTTGCTTTTTCACATTGCCTCATAAAAAGGCAATTGCTGACCATTATTCCTAAAAATATTCAGAGCCTTTGGCTGAATAATCATCTAATTTCTTTGCAGAATCAATCTGACTTAGATCTCTGAGTTAAAACTGATATCGACCAGTATTGAGTTTTCGCAAATCTGTTGGTATTGGCATTTATCGTTGCCAATAAATGAAAAAGAAAAAGAGGAGACGGGGGAAAAAAAACACCCTTCAGCCATGTTGACATAGTTTGTCCACTAGAGGGCATTCTGCAACTTCCCTGTTGATGACATGTTTTAGGAACACTGCAAACCTTAAAAAAAAAAAAAAAAACTTATCCGAGCAGAGTCCGACAGACAAACAAACAAATACATAAATAACTACAGATAATAAATGTTGTGTTTATGTGTCATTTCTCTGAAAGAAAAAGACAGTTTTTTATTTTGGTTTTTGCCAATAAAACATTACACATTACCAACAGTAATGCGTAAAGTGTAATGTGCTACTTTTTCCAGAAGCTGGTGGCAGTGCTCCATACTCTTTTTGCCTGCTTACTTAGAGCTAGCAGGCCACATGTCTTTGCCAGTCATTTGAACAATTTGGGGCGGACTTCAGTTGAATAGTTTCCAGTGAAAATCACATAGTATTTTTGCTGGTGGGCAGCGTCCAGAGCTGAAGAATAAGATGTTTGACTTCAACAGAACGCAAACAACAAAAAAAATATATGACTGCTTATAAGTACTCTTGACAGAAACAATTTTGTGCCGTCTCTGTATTTTAACAGCTGTTAACAGGCCAGGGTTCGATTAAGCTGTTTGAAAGACCTTCTGGCGAGCACACATATGTATGCATACAAGTAAATGTGAAAGCAAGACAGCAGAGTATTGTAGACAGTATTTCGTATCCCTCAATCTTCCCCTTTGAAAATTGGATGCAGAGAGGTAGATGAATTATGTGGCACGCAGCTGCAGCTTGTTCCATACACCCTTGAGCTATGTAGTTAATGTAATACACACACACACACACACACACACACACACACACACACACACACACACACACACACACATTCACACACACACACACACACACACACGCTCAGGCATATTGTCTTTGAATGACACCCCTGAACAAGTTCAGTTCACACAGATTATAATAAATTAGCTCTCGTTCATAGTTTAAGATTCAGAATTTTGAGGTAGTGAGTTAGTTGACATTCATCCTTTTAAACCTTCCTACGTCTCAGTGTGCACAAAATTACACAGATACCTTTTAAATAGGCAAGAAAAAGAAACGCAAGTGTGCGTGTCACAAAGCATGGTACTAAATACTGGTACTGATTTGTTACCAATGAGTTCTAACTTAAACACATCGTAATCTGTGATTTCTTTTATGAACCTCCTTTAAATGTTCATGTGGACTGGCATCAGCACCCTGCTGGGAGCTGCACTTTCTAAACATCCGTGCCAACAAATTTTATATCTGTTTGCTGTCCATCATGCACATTGTGCACACTTTGTAGCATCCAGTCACTCTCTTTGGAGCATTGTTAAAGCAGGACACGTTGCCAATCCATAACAAGATGATACCTATCACACTCACATCCAGCCCTGCGGCTAATTTAGAATCACCCGTTAGCCTAACATGCAAGTGTTTGGACTGTGGGAGGAAGCTGGAGTAACCGATGGGAACAAACTGCAAAATAGAAAACCCCGACCACGACCAGAAGCTTTTGACCCAGAGAGTTTTCGCTGAGAGAGAACGGTGCAAACTACTGCATCACCGAAGCTGAAATGAAGGGGAGGCGATGGAAAAAAGGAGCTTATATCTTTTGGATGTCCTGGGGCAGCTTTGCAGGGCCCTTTACTGATGACTCATAAAGATGGTGGCAGTGTTCATCCTCGGCGTGTAGTGTGTGTGAGCATGTGTCTTTCTGTGCAGAGTGCTTATCATTCCAGAGACTATCAAAGATTCAACTGGTGTGCTCCAGAATGACGGCGTTCCTTTTACTGCAAATGGCTTCTGTGCGTGTTTCTTATGAATGGTGCTGTCTGACTGATCCCAGTAGGGGAAGCTGCAGAGTGCTGCTGCAGTAATTACAGGAAGAAGCTTTCTTAAACTGTCTCTCACTTTCTCTGTGGCTGTTTCTCTCTTGCCAAATGAGCTGGCGGGGAGGAATGATGTATCAAGGTGTCTGAACTCGAGCACACTATGAATATTTCAGTGTGTCATAAGTCACTATTGATTACATTGTTGCATTTTATGCCTCATTTGCTACACCATTTTTGATTTATGAGCAATACATATATGTGCATATACATTTATTTCTTTAAAAAAAAGAGTGACCAAAGGGCCAAGTTAGAGTATGTACTGAGCATGCCCATCGCTGGAGGGACTCACTTCAGTTGCCGACGGCTGTTCTTTATAGCTGGTCTGTGAAAGCAGGCACACTTCTTCCATAAATGCACATAAACTCACTCTTTATGAAAATCAGATTTCTCTGAGAATATGTACAGAATAAAACCTGTAGGGAGTAATGTAGTTCACACTTTGCCCCAACAGCTAAATAGACCTATGTATTTTTAATCGTAATTAAAAGTTTGAGATGACCTCATAACCATTTTAGTTCAATGAAAGCAACTTTTGCAAGCCAAGTATTGTGTTCCCAAATGGATATAGTTAAAGTGAGCATGTTTTTATGTTTGAATGAAAATAGCCCTAAAAAACAGCATTGCATGATTTATTCATCAGCCAAAGCCATTTCAGAGCCAAACGCAGACTAAAGCTGTCAATTGTTGGAGCTCAGCTCTTCCTCACTGTGGTGGTAAATTCTCCTTAGAGGCTTGGAGTTCTCGCCATTGCTTCTGTATCCCTTTTTTGTCAAGATTCACTCACTTTCACTGGTGTTTCCCTCAATCCTTTGAGCTCTTTATTTCACTGTCTCTGTGGCTCTAACTCTTTCCTGTTCTCTCTTTTCTCTCTATTGCTATTTAGCTCGAGCGTCCACATTCATCATCCGAAATTTTAATTTTTCTGCTAAATACTGTAGGCATTTATGTGTCTGCAAATCGATTCACTATTCATAAAACCATATCAAAATTACATTGGTAAATATTTAATTAAATGGAATTCAGCCTTATGAGCATAGAGACAGAGCCTAATTAAAACCCACCCAGTGATTAAAAGTTTCATTTTAAACAATGCAGAATAATTTTTGTTTTAAACGGAGCAAAATGGGAAGAATGAGGGACCTCAATGAATCACTCAGATAAAATTTATGCTATTAAATGATCAGGTGTCAAATGTGTAGCATGTGATGGGGGACACTGACTTGTAGCCAAACTATATGGATCTGCCCTACTGTGGGCGAGCCATAGAGGTTTGATCCCTTGTGGACTGGATGGTAGTCAGTGATCGAGGTCCTGGCATTCCGATCCTCAACCTCCGTGGAACATACGGTAGGTATATGTAATTCAAGACAGACTCTTCATCAGACTCTTGATCAGAGGAGTCTCTTAACTCTTAACCCACAGGTTCCCACATACCCCCTCTTGCGGGGGGTATGAAAAAAAAAGAAAAGAATGCTTGGACACTGCTAGCATAATGTTAGCTCTTTATACAGTAAAGTTACAGTGGGATACAAATAATTTCAGGATCCTGCCAGGATTTGTTCCCCCGGTTCAAATCACAGACAAACAGTATCCCACAGTTGTTTATGTTCTTAAACCCATTTTGCACAGAGAGGCATTTTTTGAAAAATGTATTGATAGTAATATTGAATGTTATTACACAGGAAACTACACCTAAAATAATCACACCGTGACGCCTCTGCCTTTCTAAATGGAGGGACAGTAACTGCGTGTGTATATGTAAGCGTGTAAAAACTCAAGATAGTCAGATTAACAGTATTTTGTCTCTATCTGCCATTGCAGAAATTCATCTCATGTAAACAATAACGTGGCGCACATCGTGACGTAAATAAAAGGCACATACCTTTGGCGTTGTGTGACAAACTCTGCATTCCTCGTCCACACGTAAACGCAAAAACAGAGTTTTAAAAAATCTCAGTTTTCGGTGATTCGAAACGCTGTTTACGTGTGGCGCATAGAAACAGCTGCGTTTTCAAAAATACCCGTGTAGGTGTAGACGTAGCATAAAAGAGTTAGTGTATTTTATTACTACCTGTAATTTATTGCAGTTTACTTTTATTTGTTTAATTGCTTACTACATGTTTGAGGTGTGAAATAAACCGCTTGAAAACAAAATATGGGTGTGTGTGGTTGGAGTTGGGTAGAGGCGCTACTCCTTCTTGTTGTGGTTCTTGCTGTTGATTGGGGTGCCTTCTGAACTCTCTACATGGAGTTTTTTCAGACACACCCAACTGGGAGGAGACCCGGGGGTAGATCCAGAACTTGCTGGAGAGATTAAATGTCTTGTCTGGCCTGGGAGTGGCTTGGGATCACCCTGGAAAATCATTGCTGGGAAAAAGGATACTTGGAATATCTTGCTTGGCCTGCTGTCAGTGCAAATGGAATCCGGGCAAGTGGAAGAAAATGAGCGAAGAAATATATTCTTCTGTTAGTCCTGCAGAAATGTCATTGTGTCTCTTCCAATTATGGGTTCAAATCTCTGGAAACACTAACAAATAACATTTTTGTTGTTGTTACATAAAACTCCCGAATTGACTTTCAAAATGCGTATGCGCCCATCACAGGGATGTTATTACAGAATAACATTTTGTCATCAGCAAAGAGGTGAAATTTACATCCTTTAAAGCTCATCAGCGTCTTTTTTGTCAGTGTTCTCTGTGTCTCTCTGACACTTGAACTCAAATATTAGCATGCCTGCTGGGCAATACAGCCAGACCACGCTGTTTCTCAGATCAATGGGTTGTTGCGGGAGGGGTAGTGTAAATCATAACAGAGAAGCATGGAATGAAGAGAATTTTTCAGAGAGACGGAGACAGGGGAGACCGATCAATAAGCCGAACTCTTCAGCAGAGGAACCTGCAAGCACACAGCCCACACCTTTCACACAACATTAACTTCAGTGTGGAATCACAGTGCAACAAACATCATGCACATGCACACATATACACACACACATGACTTCAGAGGGCATTACACTGACTTTCATTCATTTCTTGGAGATTTACTCCAGGACCCTTAGATCCCCATGACGTAATATGTACCAAAAACACAGACATGCCTTTGAAGACAAATTCTTTTACTTGGACTAATACAAAATCCTGTGGTGCAATTATTCCGATTTTATTAATGCAACTTTGTGCAACGATTAGACTCGTGGTTTTCTCTCAGCAGTTTTGTGGGCTAGTGCTTGCACTAGCTAACTAGATTGTCTAGCAAGGTGCATCAACAATGCAATACTAAATAGGATGCTAATTCCAGTCAGGAAAAAACAACCAATTGTAGTTGCTGAAGAAACTGAAATATGCCTCTAATCATGCATAACATTAATATTTACAGTGTTTCCGATGTAAAAACTGTTTAGCTGTTCAGTTTAGCAATGGACAATCCCCTTACTTTAAGACCGCCTCTGGTACCATTTTTCCGGAGAAGTTTTGTTTTAACTCTCTAAGAGGACATAGGGGTGAAAGATACCTCTGTTGGAACCTGTAGTAAAGGGTTCTTAAGAAAGGGGGAGAGTAGAACAGAAACTACCGTTACTAATGACCTGGCGTCCAAACTGCAGGATGAGAGGCTCAGTGGAGAAGCAGCTGATTATTGCAGTGTGGGTTATTTGTGCCCATGCCGTCCATTACCTGTAAATGTCATGGGCATACTTTAGAGCCCGCTGGATCAGGAAAAGATGCAAATGAGCGAGTTTTATGGTTGAGGTAGAAACAATGAGGTCACAATCACATGTTTGGAGATAAAAATGAAAAATGTAGTCAGGGTGAGACAGTGAATAGACAGAGTAGGTAGCTGTCAGGATGTGTGGGAGGGAGACACACATATATACACAGTGAATCACAAAAGGCACTTCACAAATAGCCCTCACTCCATACCTCTTTTTCATCCATCCTCATATTTTTTTTTCTTGCTGCACTTGCCTTGTTGTCCCTGTCATCCTGCTATTGTCTTTAATTTTCTCAATATATGTGTTCACCAGCTGGTGGTCCTAGCTAAATCTGCTTCCATTTCATTACTGGTAAGAAAAAAAAAATCAGGGTTGAAGACGCTCAGCTGCAAATAATTGAAAGACAAACAATTGGAGAAAGTTATCATGGTGGAGCAGGTGCACTTTAGGTTGAATCCGAGTGTGTGTGTGTGTGTGTGTGTGTGTGTCCGCGACAAAGGGAGAGAAACAGGGTTGGAAAAGAAGAGAGAGATCGAAGCTGGAGACAGAGTGATGAACCCAAATGCTCAACCGCTGGCACCTGCTCACCAGCTTTGCTTGAACGCCGTGATTCTGCTCACCGAGAGTCGAAAGGTTGTGTGTGAAAGAATGCATGCATTACAGAGAGAGAGAGAGAGTGTGTGTGCGAGAGGGAGCGAGAGAGACACAGAGAGAGAGAGAGAGCGCACAATTGGGCATCACAGCCAATATGCACTAAAAAACAGAGAGACTTGGAGTGAGAAAGAGGGGGGTGGGCTTAGGTACAAGCATCATAGCAGCTCATGTTCTCCCACCAGCCCTGCTTCCTTCAGCACACAAGAAGACAGACACTGAGGAACCCTCCCTTTCTCTGTCATTTCTCTCTTCCTCTCTCTCTCTCTCCCACTCCTCCTTCTTGTCTGCTGTCCACTGGGGGAGACACTGCTCCTGCTGTGTCGATTGGTAGGCAGTTACAAACGTTACTATTTTAAGAGAATCAGCGTACAAGCACCGTGTGCGGCAGCAGACGGATCGAAAGGGGAGCGAGAGGCAGGGAAAGCCAGAGCCCTCGTTCTTCTGCACAAGTGTTCTGGCAAAAAGGGATGAAGGAGCACGGGGGAAGTCGGACCTGCAGCTGATGCCAAACTGCACAACTGAATCCAGGTAGAAGTAGAGCAAGGCAGACTGTAAGTCAAGAGGTCGTGCACAGTGGAGCTTTGTAGAAGAGAATCTTTCCTTATTTTACGGATCAACATTAAAAAAATAAGAGAAAAAAAAAAGGAGAGACGGGGAGGTGGAGTTGAGCGACAAGCGAAAAAGATGGCGAGTTTTGGGAAACTCACAGACTACTTTAATCGCCGTAAGTCTCGAGAGGAGCTGCGGGTGGGAAGAAGCTCGCGGCGCAGTGGCAGTTACTGCTGCACTGTGGCCGAGGCCAGGTAAGTCGTGTGTGTCTACGTGTGTGTGTGTGTGTGTCTCACTATGCCTGGTTGGTATATACTGTTGTCTCCAGGCTGTAAACATTGCCACTTGGCTGTATCTTGTGACTTTCAGTGCAACAGAATGAGCATGTGCACATGAGAGGTTCGAGGGTGTGCGCCACTTGGTCACACACTTGCACCTCTACATGTGTGTCAGGGTTTAATGGTTAAGTAATATCAGTCAGATATATACTGAAGGGAGTGTAATATATGTATGTAACATTCTGAAAAACATCTAAACGAAAATGAAATGAATGAGCCAGCCCACATGCAAATTGTATTTTTTTGCAGGACTGTGAGGCTTTAAAGCGACTGTGTACCTGTATGTGCATGTAAACATGTGCTTGTATGCATGTGAGTAAGCTTCGAGTTACATAAGTGTGGAGGTGCGGCGGATAGCTGCTGTCAGGCATGGTGGTAGCTACTATAGATTCTTTCCACTGTCGTGCAGTTGAATATGGAGCGTTTGCACAGAACAAAAATAGAGAGGAAGTCAATAGGCTCCATATAGAGAAGGAGACGCAAAGAGTCCTTCTTGGCCAAGTCTACCCACTTCACCTTATTTTACCACACACGCACGTATTTACAACCACAACTGTTGCTGTTATTGATCTCCAAAGACAAATTTACAGGTGCCAATAAGTCAGGTTTTTAGTTTTTAGTTTGAAGAACTAACATCAATGTCACAAGTCTATGGTCTACTCTGGCATCACCCTGGTAATCTAGATTTAAATTACTTTTCATCTTCTAAATTACAGTCATCTCAAAAACAGGACTGTTATTAGCTTTTCTGGTTAACCGTCCAGCCGGTCAAACCTTTCACCCGAATGCAATATCTCTTAAAGGCTGCTCAAATTTCAGCACTCGAGAATGAATCGATTCAATTTCCCGTCGTCGAAGGCAACGGTCACCGTGACATCGTGTTCTGACCCCCACTACTGCCCCGTTTGTTGCCAATGCAATATCTCGGAACCACCTGGAAGAAATGTCATTACATCTGGCACAAACATCCGCTCTGACTCAGAGATGAACCGGCTGTAATTTGGCGTTCGGTGATCGAGGTTACCTTGACAGCAAAACAAGTTTTTGTTCTCACTTAAGAATTCATCCACTAATTAGGAAAACATTTTACAAATATGTAATAGGATAAATTGATTATGTTATTACATGTTGTACCCAAATGATGATGTGGTGTTTTACAGAACCATTTTTCCAATGTGGTAGCTTAGGGAGAAAGAGAAGAATGTGACCACAATTCACATTCAATCAAACTCTACTTCTTCAATTCTAGTTCTCGGATTGGTCTTGTAATTCATAATGAAGATGGATTTAGAAATATTGCTTCCTCCGCAACAGTGCTAATTTTGTTTGTGTCAAACAGAAGCTGTCCACACCCTCCTGCAAACTCAATTTGCGTGGCTCTACTAAGATCTAACAACTTCTTGCTGTGTACTGCAGCGCTGCAATTAGCGTCCTGAATTCTGAAAGGCAACGTTATTCACTCTGATTACCGTTAAACTAAATGCCCCGAAAAAAAACGAGAAAACTTCGACGCTAAGTTTAGAGCTCTGTGTTTCTATTTTTGCTTACCGGCACGACTGTCCTTCTAATGATCAACCTTGCCTTGCTCTTAACAAGAACCCAAAATTACGTCTGAGTCAGTGTTAAATTATACAACCAGCATAAAAATGAAAATCAGAGCCCCAGTGTGAAAAACTCCCACCAGTGCCACTACTCTAGACTTTGAAAATATATCCATCAAATCTCGTATCGTCCTCACAGGAGAAGTGTTAACGTGGGTGGACATCTGGTGTATTTAAAAAAAAAAAAAAAAAAGACTCACATTCCCTGCCATTACAAATCCAGTATCTCTCATCCCCACAGTCTCTTTGTCTCTGTCTCTCCCACTCACTGTCTCTTTCTCACAAGCCACCCGCTTCCTACGCCCCTCAATCTCTTCCAGTCTTACTTTCAGTCTTTCTCGCTTGGCCTCTTTTATCATTCTCTTTCCCTCTGTATTGCCCCACTCTCATGCTTGTTCTCTCGGTACACTGTCGTGCATAAAGGAGGAGCCAGAGGGGTTTGAGGCTATCAGAGTTGCTACAAGACTTTTTTTTTGTTGAAGTTGGAGCTGTCTCTTTTGCCTTTAAATGAATAGGAGCAGGGAAGAGGGGGGAAAAAAGGGCAATAAAATGACCAAAAATAGAGATTGATGTATTATTTATTAATGGTTGCAGAGAAAGAGAGTGACTTCAGCAGGGACAGCTATCAAACAATGTTCTGTTTTCAGTGAATGAATGAAAATCTGGCCTCAGTAATCTCCAGCATTACAGTTGTCTAACAAAGAGCTCATGCTGTACTTGCCTGTCTAGAAAAGCTTTGTGATTGATAGAGTTCAGTGAGATATGTACCTTTTCAAACAGGCGATGGACACTTGAAGTAAATGCTAATTACAGAACGTATTGGGTACAAAATGTCCGGGGATAATGAAGGCTTGATTGTGACACCAGAGCCGCTGCAAAAGATGTACCCAGCAGGTGAAGAGGGCGAAGAGTGAGAGTGATGGAAACCTGAGGCACAGCAAGAGTGGCTCTCTAGCGGGCAGAATGGAGACTGTCCGCTAGTCCAGCAACAAACCAGCCTACTTACTAGTTTAAAACAATGAGCGCGGGTCGCACAGCCCTCGTAAGTCGTCCATATTACTATTAGAAATCATCATGTCACAGATGCAGATATTCAGTGGCTGTTACCAGTGCCAGTAGAGTTATGTGATTCTCAATACCTAATTCAATATCACAGTAGCAAAGAAAAAAAGAGTGATCTATGTACTTAAACATAAACTCCCTAACCCTTTAACACCCAAGTATCATACAGGGCACCTGGACTTATTTTTTAAATATTGGCTGTAAAGTTATGAAGTAATCTCATCTTTCAGGAACCGTTTGAATTTGCTCTCTTGTTCAAAATGGTTGAGGAGTTACGGTAACGTGAAGCGCACGTGATAACGTCTAGGTGGAGCTGAATGTGTTCAGACAGTGGTACCTTGGAAATGCTTTGTGCTATGCGAGTTAACACGGAATTGGAAGTTGAAAAAACATTATCTCAGGTCCCGCCCATTTCCCGTTGTCCGTAGATGCTTCATGTCATTGAAAGTAATTCACTTTCTGTGGTTGCTGGTTGCCCCGTAATTTCCACTGTCAACACAGCTTTAAGAATTTATGCAACGTTGGCCATTCTAAATATGTTAGCCAATGGAGACTTGACTAGACAAGACTACAATACTGCCGCTGTCAGTCCGGGAAGATCTGCAGGCTCAGTATGTACAGGAAAAACTACAAAACAGCACAATCACAAAAAACAATGAATTTTGGTATTTAAAGATATCAGAAGTACTGGTTCTGATTACATCCCTTGTAAGAAAAGCATGATTTCAAAGTGCTAAAGGCTTTAGATTAAACAAGTAACTGCAAAATTTCCTTACTACATGAGACAGGCTGTATTTTCAGTCATCTTTTACTGCTGCATGGCCCCTCTCAGGTACAACCATTAGCATAATGTATAGTGACAACAAGGTCAGTCCACAGTGAATGATGGGTAATGGTGAGTCAGTCTGTAATGAACAAGTTAATGTCCATCTTTACGTAATGTAGAATAGCCTTTTCTCCCGCTTGTCACTTAATCTGCTCTTATTTCTTTTTGACCAATTTCTTCTCAATAAGTTACATTTAAACTCAACAATAAAATAAATACTACACTTACATCACAGGTCTGTGATTTCTATGGATTACAATCTTTCGAAAATCTATAAAATTGTTAAGAAGACAAATTCATGAAAGCATGTGAAGACAAGAAGGGCAAAAGTTTGGAACTGAAGTTCGGAGCATGAAAACGTGGGCACGTGTGTAAACAAGTATGAGGATGTGCACTTGCTGTGCTCTGCGAGTGTGCTTTAAGTCAGTTCAGCACCATAGATAGTTCTTTCTACGCAGCTACATTCACCAGCACAGCCAACCCCCATCTCTATCCCCAGCATAGGATGTTTCTTCAAAAGTCTTCATAACCCATCCTCCAATGTCTTTTATCAGCTAGCGCTTCATCTACTTAAGCATAGTGTACATTCGTTTTAATCAAACACCGTTTTCTGTTAAATGCCTTTGCGCGTGTGGTGATCAGACTTACTGCTGTGTGTATTTACTCCCAGAGACCCATTCTGAGGCTGGAAGAACCCTTACATAGCATTCAATGGAAAAATACTTCAACAGTTTCACATCAGATTACCAAAAAGGACTGAAGGCACTGCACGTGCTACTTTTGGAATTAATATAGGTCACTAATACAAATTGCTGTGCTTCTGTTGTACCAGAATGTGTTCTTGTAGAAACAAATCTAATTTTAGTCTGCACTGAGACAGAGAACAGAGGCTTTTTTTGCAGTCTTTTCATGTTAAGTCAAGCGTTCAAAGATATAGAGAAGTGCTCCTTCCACCCCAAAAAAAAACAAGGAAAACAAACCGGGTGAGTGCTTAAAACACAACAACACTCAAACACGTGATTCTGTTTTTACCAGAGGATGGCTATAAAAAGTAGACAGAGCTTACACGTCTCGATGCTGAAGTGCCTTGAACCTGCACTTGCTCTAATCGCCAGCAGGTGGCGGCTCCTCTTGTTGCATAATGAAGTCTGTTTGTATATAAATCTGTGAGAAAAGGATCCAACTTATCACCTGATTTATGACCTCATGAAACACTTTATCCATAAGCGTGTGGTCTCATGTGTTAGTTTCTTATCCTATGGAATAAAACGTGATGCTCATTTTGTATATTACTGCTTCATTAGATTCAAAATGCAAGGTGTACTTTAGGGCAGGCTTAACTTATGATCGATTCAGAAGGACATCGAAGCTAAGGGTGCAATGTCCTTCAACTTCTTGTGCTGTTGCGCTGCACACACTTTTAACAC